TTATCCAGTAAAAATACTTATATTGATTGATATTGATATTATGATGATATTGCCATATGAATTAGAATATATATTATATGAATTTAAAGAAAATATTATTTCTATTAACTGCGGATAAAGGAAATGTGTCAAATAGAAAAACCAATAGAAACAAGGTTATGAAATTGTATAAATTGATAATTGCACAATTTTGATGTAATTTTGACATAAATGTCTTATAATGTTGCAAGATTTTCTATTAGACTATATTTGGGTGCCTTGCTTCATTTTCAAACCTTATTTTGTTTATTAGATTTCTTGTTGCTATTGTAGTAGTATGATTTGAAATATTCTTAAGGAAATTTTTCCCTTTTTTATAATCATGGTTTTCTTTTTGTTGTGATCAAAGTATTTGATCACTGACATTTTTGTAAATTATAAAGGTGCATCATCTTTATGGCAGAGAAGCCGGTATGATATTGACTTAATGTTATGTCAAGAGGGCACTTTGTTTTGCCCCTCACTATACAAAAAAAAATAACTCAAAATTTACTATCTATGAGATGCCTTCAAACATGAATGAATATCAACTTTCTCAAATCAATATAATTGTCGTTATTGAGATAGCTAATATGCATAAAATTGCAATTTGATAGATTCTAGTTTTATTAATCATAATAGGCTGACTTATTTATACCAAGGATTCAAATTGTTTATTGTATTTTTCTCTATGTTATGCCACTATTTAATGAAATGATGTGATAAACAACTATCACTTCTATCACATTGTTGTTCTACAACAGCTCTTTCTTATTTACAATAGCAGAAACGTGGTTTTGAAAACTTCTTTCATGAGTGATTTGAATTTATAAATCTGTATATTTATTTTTTACATGTTAAATATCAAGGAAATAAAATTCCATGTGAAGTATGTGTTTTTATTCGCCCACACGTAAGTATGGGCATATATTGTAGTTGCCCCTGTCGGTCCGCCCGTCCGTTCACATTTACCTCGTGCTCACTCTACAGGCTACAATTCTCTATAGATTCTTTTGATCTTTTGTATGTGTGTCAATATCATTATGAAGATCTGCACTATTGAATTTGGTGATGATCTGATATCGCAATCCTTTTTTTCACTTTTTATACGCCCACACTTTAATGTGGGCGCATATAGTCGTCGCCCCTGTATGTCTGTCTGTCTGTCTGCCCTTGTTCTTGAATTGTTTGTGGACAAAATCAGACGAACACAAAGACTTGCCACTTGCTGCCACTCAAAAGACTTAATTCTATATGGATTAAATGAAACTTAACACGTTAAATTATTCCCACTTGAATAAAAAAGATGTAAACAAAACTCATGAAATATGAAAATTTCACTCTCTGATAACCTCCCGGACAAATAAGTTGCCATTACAATTGTGGCCTATATTTCGACGACATCGCTATTTTTTGGCTCGAGCTCACTCTACAGACTACAATTCTCTATTGATTCTTTTTATCTTCTGTATGTGTGTCAATATCATTATGGAGATGTGCGCTATTGAATTTGGTGAGGATCCGATGATTTTCTTCAGAGATATCGCATAAAACTCTTTTTTTTTTTTTTACTTTTTTGGCTCATGCTCACTCTACAGGCAACGATATCGAGTTTGTTTTACAGTTCACATTTAGCTCTTTATCAAGCTGCTTGTGGGCGTATTTGCTTGCGAGACTTTCCGCAAGCCTATGTTTTGTTAATGAGTTCTAGC